TTAAAATTCAGTTCCTCTGTAAGAACAGTGATACTCTCAGTCACTGAACCATTTCCTCTGTGTAATTTCTTCTGATTTTTTATTCACTAGTTCTTCCCTCTGATACATCTTTCCAATGAAGCTTTCATTTGAAGATTACTTGTTATTTTTTGTTATTGTTATTACATTGTTTGTTTTGTTGTCTGCTTTTAACTAGTTGGTTAGACTTCTTTAAATATTCTTGGGAAAACTCTCTCAAACTTTCATTTCTTTAACTCCCCTGTTATAGTTTTGAAGTACATATGGCTGTTACTGCCATCAGTTGCTTGTACTCATGGACCTGGTTTCCTTCGGTGCAATTTTCTTTAATTTTTAGGTCAACCCGTTGCCTCTGGAAATGGTTCCTAGCAGTCCTTCAACCTACAATGAAATTGTTTCTTTCTATAAAGAATAATAATTGGGCTCTGTGAGGCCGCTACAGATCCATACAGTGTGGTACCTCCTTAAACCAGGCTTGAAATTTAACACAAGCTTTGTGTCACCTACTCCTCCCCTCACTACCTGCTTCCTCTCTTCTAAACTTGAGTATCCTTTAATTAGGAATGATTCCTTAGCGGTCAGAGGCTGAACAATCCTTTACCCATAAAAATAACCTAATACATTTTGGTGAATGAGCAAAATTTTACATGATCACATTAGTGCATCCTCTCTCTCTTTATTCTATTGGTTGGTTAAGAGCATCACTCTACATTAACTATCATCCCCAAGAAGGCAAACTTTCAAGTCATTGCTATGCCGTCTCTTCTGTGTGCATTATTCTAATCCTGTGCCACAAAGGAAGCAGGCACATGGCAAATATTTGCTTCTGCGCTAAGATTTTTGTATGTTTATCAGTTCTGCGCACAAGTGGACCAAAGCACGTATTTCTAAAATTCGTCATACTTAAGCAGGATATTTAGAATACTGCTTGAGTTAGCACTGGCGGTAATTCTTTGTGGCCTTGGAACTGCTTTACTTGTGTCTAATATCTTTTCCCTTAGATAGCTCAGTCCACTTTCCAGGCATTCTTTCTGCAACTGACCAGTGATTGTACCTCTTTGTTGCTCACTGAAAATAATTATTGTCACCATCTAAAATAAAATCCAAACTTATCAACTTTGATGCCTCTTTCACCTAATTGGCATAGCCAGACTTCATGTAAAGGCATCTCTGAATAAGCAAACTAGTCCTCCTGTCACTTACTAGCCATGTGAGCCCCTAGGTGACAAACTGCTGAGCATCAGTGACATGATGTATATTAGAACACTGGCCACAAGGATAACCTAGATGTTTGGCAGAATTAGAATAGCTCTACAAGGCTTTTCTGAGAAGAATAGAAATATACTTTTATATTTTATTTCCTGTGGGTACATGGACTCAATGAATGAATGATAGCAGGGACATTTCTTCTATAGACCCTGGTTTCCCAACCAAATATAAAATGAGTCATTAAATAATAATTGTAAAGCTTAACTATGGGCAATGCATAAATAACCTACTTCCATACTTGGCCCATGATTAAGTGCATTACAAACGTGTTTCCTCATCCCCATTGCAAACTGAGACCAAATTTTCCTTTCCTATGGAATTGCAATCAGTTACAAGTCAGACAGCATTACATAAAAGGACACTTATTATCCTTCTGCGTCTTAAAGTGCTAGCCACATCTCAAAGCTAAGTTCAAATGCTGCTTACTCACTCAGCATCCTTGAGTCTCACTCTGAAACACTCATTCTCAACTCCAGACAGGCGGATAAGAATGCCATTCCAACAGAATCTTCCTCTCATCTCAATGCTTGAGTTTCCTGTATACCGGTGAGTGTAATTCTATAGTACATAAGCCAAACACTTTCTACTGTCTGCAGGAATAGAAGACTATCATATTTTATTCTTTAAGTTAGCATACAGGGTGTTAGATAGCATTGTGACACTTCTGACAAAGACAGTTTCAGAAGATTCTCCTTCTCCCTCATTGCCTCACCTTCTTGTGGTCCCTGATCCTCCCTTGTAACTTCCCCATCTCCTTTCCTCTCTCACATTACACATGACACTTTTCCTAGCCATTCCCAACCTCCTTCAGCTCACTTTCCTTTTCTTCATCCCATTTCCTTCAACTTTGTGTAACTACAGTCCATCTCCATGAGGTTTCTACACTTGTTCTAATCCATGTCTGTGCTCCGCTTTAGGTAGACTGCTGGGTAATAATGCATTCCTTAAAATGCAAGTTTGTGAGTGCCTCTTTCCTCCTATAACTGTAATCCCTGCTGACAAGTTGGAAGACAGAGCCATGAGGCTGTAGCTTCCAACACTGGTTTCACGCCTACAGGTTCTTTCTAAGTTCTTTCTTCCTGTTATAAAACCTAGAAGACTCTACTCCATGCTGTGGCTTCTGTATTTCTTCAGTGGATTTCCTAGAAGCATAGCCCCTGTGTGAGGTCAGCAACTCTGCAGATTCCCCGGCTTTGCAGCCTCTCTTATGCCAACAACAGGTCTGTGGAGCTGGGGAATGGTGATATGCTATAGTCAGCCAATTCACAGCAATTGGGAGAGAGCACAAGGATCCGTACAGATAGGGCACTAAAAGCATCTACTAGAGTCATCTTCATGTTATAACTCCTGGATATGAGAACTACATGTTATTCTCCCCTGTAGTCTCCTTAGTCCTCCTAAACACCATAGAAGCAACGGCTTGTGATCTAACTTATTCAAGTTCTGATGAAGCAATCCCCAAGTTTTCATTCATTTGAATTCATTGTCATTGATAGTAACAGATTCTTGTAATGGCCTTAGCTATAATCTCTCTCCACTATGTAATAGAGAACCAGAGTAAGAGGCTCAGAGGAAGAAAGATGGAGAACTTCATACTACAAGTTACTGAAATCTTGGTTGCCCTGCCAATTCAAAAGATGTCTGAAGAGCAATGTTTAAATTTAGGAGAAGCAAATTATTGTGGAATACTAAGGCAATCATGAGAAAGAGAAGAACTTTTGTATGTTGTATTCAGTTTTATTACCCTTTTTAATATTACAAAAGTAATATATGAATGCAGTAAGCAAAAACAATGTACAAATGAATAGCAAAAGTCTATTTCCATCATGTTGGCTTTTCATTCCATTCCCTAAAACAAAATACCATCAATGTTTTCTAGAGGTTATATCTAAAAATAATTTATAGTATTTTGTTTGGTTTGGGTTTTTTTGTTTGTTTTTCGAGACAGGGTTTCCCTGTATTGTTTTGGAGGCTGTCCTGGAACTCACTCAGTAGACCAGGCTGGTATTGAACTCAGAGATCTGCCTGCCTCTGCCTCCTGAGTGCTGGGATTTAAGGCATGTGCCACCAACGCCTGGCTCTAAAAATAATCGAAGTTTTATATAAATATTCACATATGTTTGTTTTTATGTATAAGTATATATAAGACCACAATTTATATGTATATATATGTGTGTGTGTGAGAGAGAGAGAGAGAGAGAGAGATTTTATATACAAAGATACCGCAGTATATAGAATGCTGTCTACTTTGTGTTTCCACAAATCATATATCTTGCAAGTCGTACTCCATCAACATGTTTTATCTATCTTACCACCTATAGAGATTACAATGTATTTAACCTGTTATTTTGCTAGCTTTCAGCCTTGAAAAATAATGGCTCAGTTACCACAGATTGTGCCACTAGAATATAGATATTCATATTCATTTCTTTGTGTACATGATTTTAGCAAGTGTACCCTTCCTTCTGAGTATGATACCAGCATCCCAGACAGCGGCGTGGCTACTAGATTCCTTCCATCTACATTAAATCATATGTCTTTCACCCTAGGTGACGCTCTGCATCCTCTGCCCACTTGTTCAATCTTTCTTCCAGAATATGACTTATAATCAGAAAAGATAGACATTGTCACAATTGAAAAAAAAGACACATGCAATTTCCAACCACAGAACACAGTAATAGCAAGTTCTAAGATTGACGCTGATACATAATTTAAATAATAGGATAAGTATGTTGAAAGGAGCAGAAAACCTGAATCTTGTTCAGAATTTAAGAGGCTTGGTGCTAACAGTGTGTCCAATTTGAGTTTCTTTCAGAGACAGAAATTTTCCAGAAAAGCAACTTGCTATTCCTTTTTTTCCAGAATTCCATATATGAATACAGTGTATTTACATCATCCACATCCCTCCTCTCCCCTCTCCAACTCTCCTGTGTCCTTTAAGCTACCTACTCTCACATTCATGACCTTGTTCTAAACTTATTAGTGTCACACACACACACACACACACACACACACATTCAAAATCTACTGAATCCCATTAGTGTTGCTTTGTGTACATATGTTCGGGGCTGACCACTAAGATTGGGAAACCTACTGGGTGGGGGACATCTCTAGAGAGAACTGATTCTCCCTCCTTCAGTAACTGTTGTTGCCTACAGCTCTTCATCCTAGGGGCAAGCCCTTGTGGAAGTTTGCCCACACATGCTGATGTTTCAGCTGGTATGGTCTTGCGCAGACATTCATAATATTGACAGGCCATGGGTACAGCTTCCCCATCATGTATAGATGACACTAGCTAGCAGTTGTCCTGGTCCTGTGACTCTTACAATCTCCCCACCCCTTCTTTGAGGTTGCATGAGCCTCAGGTTAGGGGTTCTGTTGTAGATGACCCAAGTAGGGACAGACAGTCATGTTCTCTGCATTTTGACAAGCTACGGATCTCTGTAGCAGTTTTCCGTAGTATCTTAAAAGAGAAGCTTCTTCAGCGGAAGATGAAAACTGTGCTATTCAGTAGGTTCAAAGATAACTAAGTATTTTACCTGCTTCTTGGCCGGGTTTAACAGTGCCAGGCATGTATTCCCTCCTGTTGAGTGGGCCTTAAGCCCAATTAGACAGCTGTTGGATCTCTCCAACACATAAATGTTACTTATATGTTGTGTGTGTTCTGTACCAACCCTATTTTCCTAAAGTGCCTTTTGTCTCTTTGTTTGCAGTGAAGTACATGAGAGAAGCCACACCGTACGTGAAGAAAGGATCCCCCGTGTCTGAGATAGGGTGGGAAACGCCTCCACCTGAGTCGCCTAGATTAGGGGGCGGCTCTGCAGACCCTCTGTCATCCCAATCCTTCTCCTTCCATAGAGATCGGAAAAGCATCCCCCTGAAGATGTGTTACGTCACCCGGAGCATGACTTTGCCTGACCCTGAAAACAGGTAATGGGGAAAACTTTCCTGACCTTTGAGGTTGTGAGAGAAGTGGCCATGTTGTGCTTGTGTCAGAAAAAAAAAACTCCACATCTCTCATGAATAGAACGAAAGGTCCTCCCACCCTCCAAGCATGGGGAAGATACACATCGAAAGAGGGAGACTATATTCCATCCAGGGTCCCTCCATCCTCCCATTCTTTATCATCATGATGTAAATGCACTTGACAGGGTTTCTATGTAGAAGGGAGAATTGGAATCAGGATCCCGGTATCTTTCATGGTTTGTTCACTGTGATTCTATGAGATTTTAGGAAAGTTCCCCAAACCTCCGTGTTTTGTTTTGGTCTTCTGTAAGATTGGAATAGTTGAAATAGATGCCATGGGAATAGTTGAAATAGATGCCAGCTTGTGAGGGCTAATTGGAGAAATCCCATGAAGTGCTTGGCACTGGAATGAGTATGCACTACAATGGCACGTGTCAGAATGTTAGTAAAAGGAAGACCTACCTGCCTGGGCTCCAGCATCCTCAATGGTGGCCTAGGAGGGTCAAATGGCAGAAGGACCTAAGCTCTTTTCTCCCATAAGAGGGTAAGAAATGGCATCACTTTGAGATTGCTGGGCTCTTTTCCAAAGTCCATAAGTGACTCTGAATGGCATAGGATAGACAGTCTACCTAATAATCCAGGGCTCTCTGGATCAAAGCAAAGATGAAGCAAAAGTTTATGGTCTCTTTTCACTCCAAGATTATCTGACCACAAAAATACACAAGTTATAGGAAAAGGTGTCAAAGGGTGCAATTAAGCAGAGAAGAGGGAGGAGGGAAAGAGACAGAGACTGAGGACTGAGCCAGCAAATGGGGACTCTTGGTGGCCTTTGCATCCACATTAAAGTGCTAAAAGTAGAAACAGTTCTACTGGTCGTTCTTCACAACATGTGTGGGACAGCTGTAACTCCTACGAATGGGAAGTGTTTGGCTAGGTCCACAGTTTCTGATGGGAAAGAGCCAATGTGATTTGGGGCAGGGAGGAAACTGACTCCTTGCCTCCTAACTCCATGTGGGTTTCAGTTCTCATCCCAGGAAGTTCACCCTAAAGGAGCTGCTAGGTCCCATCTGGCTCCAACCACCTGTCACATCCCACTGCCCTCCTTCCCAGCCCCCTCCCCTATGTTGCTCATAAGAGAGAGGCAGCAAGCAGCATTGAGAGAAGAGTCAGGCCAGGTGGAGTGAGGGGGTGGTCCTTCCCTGTTCTGTTTTCTTCTCTCTCCACTGACTCTCCGGGCCTGTGGTTGATTTCCTGACTGCTCACAGTTTCCTCCTCCCTTGGGTCCAGCCCACCTAATCAAGTAAGTCCTTTCTCCCGAGAATCTAATGTCAAGGTTTCACAATAATCTGGGGTGTGCTCATCTTGTACTGAGTTTGATGTTAATTCCCTTAGTCCAGCAATTGCCAAGTCACAGCTTACAGATACACTCTACTCATACATGTTTCTTTTACTGAATATTGTGAAATTTCATATTTCAAAGATATGTTTTTACATTCCAATAAATAAATAAATAAAGTGGCTAATGTTGGGTACATACTACTGTAGGCAGGGCTCTAAGTAACAGGAGCCCAGAAGTAGTTTATCCTTTGACAGGGGCATTGATGCTCTTTCTCATTCCTGTTGTTCAGACTTAGGGGATTCACAGGATTTCTTGCCTGGTCCTTCATATTACCTGCTTAATGTCGGACATCTAACACATGTTAGTGTTCCTAACAGCTGTCTGCGATATAAGTGTTGTCCCCATTCTATAAGCAAAACAGAAAACATTGGGAAGATAAAGAAATGTCCAGAACCATCATAGAAGTTATGAATACCTTGGAGAAAAAGTTTATGAAGGATTTTTTTCTGTTGTTCTTCTAGCAATAGACTTAGATGCTGTAACATGTGTGACCTATGAGCGGCATGAGGTCAATCAATTATCGAGACTATTTTGAGAAACCTAAGGCTTTAGTAATTCTGGAAATTCCATTATGTGTGTCTGTCCAGAGAGGAGAATGGATTTTTTAAGCTTAATTCCACTGCTGTTTAAGTCTTCCACTGATGAGTTATCTGCACAGCATCCTGGGTGGGAGAGGCAAAGCCTGTCCTGCTGGGATATGAGAAACAACAGGGCGAAATTAAAAATGAGGGTCCAGCTGAGACAGATGGTTCAGGAGGAGACATCAGGTGCAGATAGGTCCTGAACCGCTGCTACCAAAGAGATAAGGATGAGACTTGCCCCTAGTACAGGAAAAAGAAGAAAGAGGAAATGAATGTTTTACGGAGTTGCATCTGTATACTGGGAAGAATACAGCACCGCCAATCAGAAAAATAATATTGGCAAACCACAACTCCGTGGAGTACAAGAAACTCCTAACACAAAGTGATTTCAGACGTGCAAGGTGCATTGCCTGGCAGGGACCCACAAAACTAATGCAACAGAAAGCACCGATTTCAATCTTGATAGATGACAAGGTAAAATGCAGGGTGAGGAGTAGAAAACAGAACAAAGAAGGACTGATTTATACTGCAGACCAAAATTCACAAAAAAGCATTCAGTAGATTTAAACACAAGCCAAATAACAATACAGCAGCAGCTTGTATAGCAGAAGCTATAGAAAGAGCACTAAGAAACAGAAGTGTGATAGGGGAAGGTAATTTATTATGTCACTCTCAGTCCAAGATTAATCACGTAGCAAGCAAAAAGATGAATAAGGACATAGAAGCCTTGAATAGTATAATAAGGGTTTCCTTATTATCCTAAAGTTTATGTCTTGCAATTAGAGAATGCACTTTCGTTTTAAATGCACATAGAGTCTACAATCACAACACCGTGACACTCCCAACCCCATCTGATCTTAATACACACAGAACATACATACAACTGGACATAGAATACACCACAAAGAGAATGTGGTAGGTCCCATTAGGTAGAAATAATATGAACAAAATCCTCTGGCAGTAGTGGCCTGACACCAGAAAATTAAAAATAAAATCAATCTAAAATACCTTCCTTTTTTTTAACTGTTTCTGTAAGTAGCTCTTGGATCATAGAAGAAACACAGTAACTTCTAGTCAATAATTAAAATATAATAAGGGAGCTGGGCAGTAGTAGCACACACCTTTAATCCCAGCACTCGGGAGGCAGAGGCAGGCAGATCTCTGTGAGTTCGAGACCAGCCTGGTCTACAAGAGCTACATCCAGAACAGCCTCCAAAGCCACATAGAAACCCCGTCTCAAAAAAAAAAAAGAAAGGAAGGAAGGAAGGATAATAAGGGAAGGCAGTACTCAAGGTTAATGGTAAGGGAGAAAAGAGTGTGGGTACTGTCTGGCCACAGTCATGAAGACGTCTTAATTCTGCCACACCTACATCAAATTAAGCAAGAACTCATTGAATGCAGTTACCCATCCTTCACACACTCCATCACCACTTTATGAGTTTTGCTGAGGGCTGGGAGTTAAAATAAGCAGAAGAGCTGGGACTTTCGCCCAGCCTCGGCTGACACCAAACCAGTTTCTGAACCATCACCTCCATTGTCCCCTCCCTCAACACCTGACAGAACACTTCACCGGAACTGACAGCCAGGAGTTAATGGCCTCCCGGGTGCCAGAACATGAAAGCGGATTGACAAATGCCACCGACGTCTCAGGGGCTGATGCCCTCAGTGGGCGACACACAGTTGCTCACGGTTTGCATTAAAAGCTTTAATGCTCAATTTCTCAAACAGAAGCAGCCATAGAACAGCAGGCAAGATTGCTGCTCTTTCTATGGAAAAGGTCACCCAGCAGGCACCAAATCCACAAGAATTTCACTGCTAGTGGCTGTCAGTGAGGACAACATACTCTTTTCAAATGCTACCTCTTGACACATCCCCTGCTTTTCATGTTTAATTCTTGGCCTTCACACCCAGTGTCCTCATCCTGGCCACATCTCCAGTCCAACAAGGCATTTGGAGCCATGTCCTTTCTGGTGCTTTGTTTTTAGTTGGTTATGTTTCCAGCCCTCATTCTCCTAATTGATGGAATAAGAAACCTTGCCTTTATCCATCTGTTCAATCCATGGCCCCCGCATAATAATATTGGTATTCTTTGGTATTACATAGAAGTCCCAGTAAGCTTTGTATTGTCACTAATTGCCCAGCACTGGCCTCTATGTTCCAAACCTCACACTCCAGCAATCCTTAGGCATTTTGTCTAAGGCCAGTAGCTGCCTCCCTGTTATCTTCCCAAAGGTCCTTGTTTAAGCTCCAGCAAAAGGGACCCCTCCTGGACATAAATAACTCTTGCTACAACTTCCATACAGCTCTGCCCACTTATCTCAACTTTCTTAAAGGCTAAAAACTTTTTCTTACGAGCCTACCCAGTTCCTGAACTACAAGGTTCTTGAAATCAAAAGCATTCAACATTTCATTTTACGCTCCCAGCTTTTGGGAAATTTGTTCAGTACAAAGTAGATACTCAAGAATATTCTTCACTAATGTATAATAAACGTCATACTTATCTGTGCATTTTGGACATCCTTACTTCCTCAAAATTTTCCTTTGAAGAAAGCTTTCCACGGATAGTCTTGGATGTGAGAGGATGGATTAAAGCAACATCCTATCCCCATACATAGAAAAATTGGTGAAATTAGGACAATGTATTAATCAACCTGGTAGTGGTTGTGGGCAGCTGCATCAATACAAGCAGTGTTATGAGACATGCGTCACCACCTTGTGAACTACACAACAGAGTTCACTGTATATTTCATGGGTAAAGTACAAGGAGATACGCTCAACCTGTTTTGGAAACCAGCATGTGTTTCCATGCACGGTGCTCGGGTGAGAAGCTCACCAAGGTTCTGTTCAGGATCCAGATGGAAGTGTCTATTTGGCACAGTGACTCACAGAGGTGGGATCAGGTGTGCCTTGTAGGACACACTTGGATTTCTTTTCACAAAGCACTATCCGTGACGTCACCATAAGTCAGGAGCTAAACTTCAGAA